GTCAACTGCTGTTCAGCACTGACTCATAAGCAACTTGTTTAAAGGGGTGCGGTCATGACACCTTTACAGTCACAGGAATGTACGCTACCGTGCCTCGCCCTGCCGATTTTTTACTTTGGTCGTGGTTGCTCTCCACAGATGGATGTTCAGTGTGTATTTGCGAAGATTTCACAGAGGTGCATGGATAATCACAGTGATTCGCTGAGAACAGAAAAATCTGAGTGGTTCCCTATTAATTGTGTAGTTCGCCAGGGGCATGTGCTTCCGCGTTTTCTGTTCAACAGTATTCGCGACTTTTTTCTCTGGAACAGCGTTGACCCTGATAACGATGATTGTCTCATTTTTGAGGGAAGGCGCTGTTCACGAATTCTACTAGTTGTTTTGCTGACCACAGTATGCAGGTGATATTCTGCTGTGATTAGTAGGGGAAGCGGGGTTCCTGACGGACAGCTTCCGTATGCAGCGCAGCTGCGAAAGTCAGCCTTTTCTTTGCACCCAGAAGCCTGATGTTACAACAGTTCTGTAAGTAGAGCAGTTAGATGAAATGGTAGTGGAGTTTGGTCAATTTAAGAACTTTGATTTAAATCCAGCGACGGTACTATGCAGTCAGAATTAATTAGGAGGACTTCGCTCTTTTCCAGTTTTTTGTAGCCTGTCCAATCTTTGGGTTGAAAAAGAGCAACCCTCTCGATAAATTACGTCCGTCAGATAGTTCACTGTTACACGATTTGACGACCATTTTCATGCAGCGTCGGTTGCGACGCATGATCAGGTTCAAATGACAGGATCACAAGTAATGGCTGTTGTCTTATGGACGCCAGTAGTCCGCACGGTTATGGAATATATAACAGGGGCTGTTATCTCTGTAAGAGAAACTGATGTAGCTCAAACAGTTTTGGTCCAGCGGATTAGCGTTTTAATAGCCAAAACACGGCAGATGTTGTCCAGGAAGCTAAAATAAAGTAAAAGCATATCTGCTTTCAGGTAGAAATTTTCCCTTCTACGACGGAGTGACCGGTACCTCATAACAAATGTTTTGTTTCTAAAAGCTGCAAATGCAGTGCACAGTGCAAAATATGGCGTTTCCACTTATGCAAACATCTCGAGTTTGATGATCTCAACAAACACGCAGACACTCTCCTATGGTTAGCACTATGTTCGAATGGGTTTAGAACGAATTGTATTTTGACTTGGGTTTGAATTTTTGTTTTAAAATTTAGCTTGCGATTTGAACCGTTCCATGTTTATTCATCACTTACTGCAATATTTTTTTCTTCAGTTACGACGATTTCGAACCGTCACCAAGAAGTTACGAGGTGGTAATTCCTGCCATCTGTGCTCAAAAAATAGTATGCTTTACATAATTTAAAATTTGCTGCCAGGTTGCATACAAAATGTGTTTCTACGTTTATATTGATTCAGCTCCAACCAATACTGCAAGCAGTCATATATTTAACAGATTTAACCATCAAGAAAGTGGAAAAAAGCCTTATTCACGAGCCCTCGAATCAATTAAGCCATGATCCAACGTCATTGCTGGCGCTGAGGTTAAAGCAGAGAAGTACCGTTAAAGATGATACCATTGAGTTTAAATAGCGCAACCTGTCAGCCCTAATTAAATCCCGAAAACCGCTATACCAAAGATAAACTTAAGCAAAGTTTATTCAACGTTATTATTGTCTTATTCCTCCTGGATGCTTTGGGAGTTGTTCAAGCAGGCTAACTTACAGTTGTTCAAGCAGACTCTGTAGTGTTTAGCCCCTGCAGTACGTGATGCATATCGCATCATTTCTGTTAGCGAAGGTACTCAGGGAATATTCTGTTTATTACCATCTTGTTGCTGCGACTGGCATTTCATATATGCTTTAACAATAAAATTTAAACTTCTATCCAAGTTACAGGAATGTCACTAAACGTAGTTTCACCCATTAAGCTTGCAATGCATTATTTCATCGTCTTGGCTCGTTTATTATGTTGTAAGATTATTGCAGATGGATGTTTGATAAAACGAAATGAATTGCGCAATCATAAGTTTTGAGCGTTTTGAAGAATGACATTAGCTTTTCAAGGTTAGTTTTTCAGTTTGTATTTCAGGACGTTCATGACGGTGAAGTTTTGTGTGTCAAGTGGAGTTATGGTGGCGGCCTGTTCGCCTCCGGTGGTTCTGACCGAAAGATCAGAGTGTGGGAATACAGCGACAGTAACTGCGAACCATGCGGTTAATGGATAATAAAGTTTGCTAGACGTCATCAATTGCAGGAAAGCTGCGATACCTAAGCTGTCTGACTGGATGCAATCAATCGGTGACAACCGTCGATTTCAGCACTGACGAAGGCCTGATTTTGGCAGGCAGCAACGACTACGCGGTTCGCATTTGGACGGTTGTTGATCAGCGCCTTCGTCATTCGTTCAATGGCCACGGAAACAAGGTACTGACAGCAAAGTTTTCCGCTGACCAGCTGAAAATTGTATCCGGTTCCAACGATCGCACCATCAAAGTGTGGGATGTTCACTCGAGTGCATGTAATTATTTAGTATTAATTTACTTGATATTTCCATTGGGGGCTTTGCATTTTAGCCTCTTTTTCGAAACTATTTTTTCACGGAAACCTGGAAACAGGTTGGAAGGGTCAAGTTGAAGGCAGTAAAATGTTTAGGCATGTAGTTTTAACCTTATCGCTGAAGCAGATTTTGAGAACGGAAAAATTGTTAAAGGACTTTGTAAGAATCAGTAAGCTGCAAATATTTGCATGGTAATGGCCATGTTATGAAGAGTTCAAAATAGGAACCAGCGATTTATATTGAGAACTGTTCTTGTGTGTTAAAACTAGCTGTCAGTTTAAGCATGACTGGAAGAGAAGTAGCTGCATGGCATAAATTTCCGGAACGTTTGCTGTATAACTTTCATTAATAAATTTCAAGTAGTATACAGAGCATGTACATGCATTATAATTATTTCCCATCGCCATATTCTGTTTTGAAAACGTGTATTAAAAATTAGTATTAATAATTGTACTGTCAGATAGTATCGGAAAACTATTATATTACTGTTTCCGATGTGCTTCTCCGCCTCACGCCATTATTTTCTAGAAAGTATTAATTTTAAAACTAGAGGAGAGCTACTTGTTTTAGGTTTAATGTAATTTTTTTAAGATTCCCGTCCATTAGTATTTCCCTTAATCAAGCTACAATAATCTGTTTATTGTTGACCATATGTCTAACAGGAAATTGTTAAGCAA